TGTCTTGAGATTGAAGCTAATAAACGCAGCAGAACTGTATTTGCATTGTCTCTTGGAGTTCTTTGGGCTGAACCTGACACTTGGTATAGTACATTTTCTGTAATATAGCAGCAAAGATTTTTAGATCAAAGGGAAGGGAAAGACAAGTGGCAGTACTGAACTTCTTTTCTTCTGGTAGAATCTGGTCTTGTTGAGAGAGACAGAGACAGTCTAATGACTGGGAGTTTTTCTTGCCCAGGAAATGTGATGCTGTAAAATCCTACAGTTTTTCCTGTCTGTATTGACAGATAGTGGGAGAAAGGCATCAAAATACCAAATAGAAGAATAATGGCTTATGTCCAGTCACCTTAAGGAAATATATTAACCAGCTTTGAGATAGGGCCAATTCTCTGAGAATTCTCCATAGTAGTGACAGAGTACATCTCAGAATTACTAGCTAATTCTACCAAGTTATGGATGTATTGGGGGTTTGCTTATAAGAATGCATTTAATTTTTTAAATAATTTTTAGAAAAACATTCTGTTATCCTCCCTACGTCATTTTCCTCATCTTTATTTTTTCCAGTGTTGCTATTAGCCTATTCACAGGGTATCAAATGCCCAATAAACCCTTACCTTTCTTGTGCTTATCACTTCCATATTCTCTTCTGTTGAACAAACTTTGGATCATTTGGTTCCTTTCTTTTATTATGTTCCACCTGGTATTAAGAAAGGTAGGGTGTAAATATGATGAATAACATTATGTAGCTTTTGGAGTCTGTTCCAGTATAAAAGAAGACAGGGTTGTAAAGGATTTTAAAATATTTTTGAATAGTAAGATAACTTAAGAATTATACCATATTGGAATTTAATGCTGAACCTTTATTAATACCTCATAATATCTGAATCATAGCTGGCAGGAATTATGGACTACCTAGGGTTCAGTGTCACTGGTTGTGTTCCAGTAAAATGGGATGAGACTTGGGAAGAGGCAATGAACATTTTAGAAAGAATGGATTGGATTGGAGAAACAGACAGAAGTGGAGAATACTTGCAGGAAGCTCAAAGTTCCCAGTTGGGTGAGGATAAACTGAGAAAGTATTTACAGTATAGCCAGGGATGAGAATAGTAGAAATAGTTCATTCTACTCTCTGCAAACTTTAGTATCTCACTTCAGAAAACACCAGGACACTGAATTGAAAAAGGGCTACTGTAATAGTTCTGGGTGTTTTTGTATAATAAGATTTTTATCTTTATTTTGATGCAAGTAAAGGTTGGGTTTTCAAATGCAATAAGAACTAAAAAGGGATTTCTATGATTCGGTTGCTCACATAGTAGGATTAATGTTATTTTACATATGTTGCAGGACAGTATTAGAGGACATGCTCTAAATGACTAGATGATTAGATTTGATTCAATATAAGACAGTTTCATACATTCCTTAGAAGAAGATGGGATTTCACATAATTGCCACTTATACTATGATGACATAAAAAGTTGTTTGATGATTAGCACTTAATAGAGGGATTGTTGTTGTGGGATAAAGTAGGTTGACAGAGTGTCTGTTCCCTCAAGGGGTATTCATATAATCTTCCATCTTACTTAGATTTTTTTTTTCATTTTATGAAACCATGCCATGTTATGATACCAATTAATCTGACAGTATTAATGTTACCTTTAAGCATGTTTACTCTTTAGTGTTGAAGGGAGTGCTTCCTAAATACAGTTTGTTTTCCCCCCTAGGGTAACACACGTTGGACAGCACTTTACTTTTGTGCTTACTGACATTGAAAGCAAGCAAAGATTTGGATTTTGCCGTTTAACATCGGGGGGCAAAGTGTGCCTATGCATTCTAAGGTAAGTTGCTATATATAAAAACAAATGCCTGGCTACTTTCTTTGACAGTTATTGGTAATTATTGGTTTAAAAATGTAGACTCTGTGATAGCTGGAAAGCTTTGATGGTATGAATGTATGGTTATATGCTGCCATCACGACAAGCATGGTTGACATTAAGGACTATTTTTTTCTATATGAAGGAAATTGTTTTAATGAGATATTTTACAAATGCTCCATAGTTTGCCTGGCTTGGCAGGTTATGTAAATGGTTGTATAACTTTTTTTTTTTTAAAGGGAAAAATTGACATAGCAGCTGCAAATGAAATTGCCTTATGATAATGAAGTGAAGTCCTAGTGCTAATTAATAGAAATTCATCTTCTGACTGACCCAGAGGAAAAGCAAAGTTGCAACATAACAAGGTGTATATTAATATATGTGTGAATTTTCATCCTAACCTTAATACAAAGCTTTTTGCATTATACCTTTGCTTTTGCACTTGCCTTGAATCAAAGTGAATTTAATATATATTATGCTATATCACTTTTGTAAATAAGTTAAAAATAGTAGAGGATGGAGGCCATAGGATAATATTTTCACAGAACATCAGAAAAAGTGAAGTATTGGATTGGATTTATTATTACTATTAATTAATTAAACTTGTATGCCACAACTTTCAATGACTGTGGGTGGCTCACAACAATCAAAGAAACTACAATAGAAATCAATAAAACAAAAATAAAAAAAAAAAGATAAAAGATGGCAAGTGCAATGAAACGAGGAGTCTCACTCTCGCCTGAGTGAAGAGCCAGATATTCATGGCTCTTCTAAACAACAGCAGAATGGGGGCCATCCAGATCTTGAGGGAGGAGACCTCATTCCAGAAAGCAAGTGCTGCTACAGAGAAGGTGCACTTCTGGGGTCCAGATAGATGACATTGTTTAATCAAAGGAACCTGGAGCGTGCCAACCCTGCAGGGTCCAATCAGCCAGGCAGATACTGTGGGAGACAGGAGGTCACACAAGTAACCAGGCGCTATGCCAAGTAGGGCTATATGGGTAACAACCCGCACTTTGGATCACACCCAGAAGCAAACCTGCAACCAGTGCAGCTCGCAAAGCAGAGGTGTTACATGGGCATACTGAGGCACCACCGCTTTCTGGAGCTGTTGAAGCTTCTGGGTGGTCATGTAGAGCACATCACAGTTGATTCTTGGAAGGTTTGATCTGAACTTACAGTGGAATAGGCTTAGTGGCCTTGTCTGTGGAGAAGCAGGCCATCTGAATACAACATGTGGATATTAAATCTTGAAAACAGATTATATATAAATGGATGAATTGGACTGATCAACGCAAGTGACCAAAGTTGATGGATTCTTGTCTTCTGCCCTTTCTTAATGCCATTGTTTCAGCATTTCATCAACACTTGCAACAGTAACAACATTCAGGTATCAAGTTCATGCAAAAGTTTATACAATTAAAAATATGGATGTTACTGTAGTTGGCGTTTAGATGTTATTTCTTAATGGGCTGGTACACAAGTTATTGGCTATAATGAAACCCAATTAGGTAGTAGAACAATATTATTCTAACATGGTATGAATGGGAATGTTTGTTCTCTTTTCCCACTCTTTTCTGCTTAGGAGTAGATTTGCTTCTCATGAATCAAGATTTGAACAAACTTTAATTTTAATTAAAATTGTAAGTTTGAATTTTCAAACTATGATTTTTAATCTGTTCTAAATAAGAATCTCAGTTAATGTTCTTATGGATAAACATTTTTTATTAATGGTGCAAAGATATGAGGTTGAAATTTACTGCTATGAGATGAGCTGAAAAAAATGCTCATATAATTCCTGAGGCTGACTCGCTGTTATGGGAAGTGCCCTAGAGATACAGCCCTTCCGTTTTAGCTCTAGCTGGGTTATTTTTTTTTCCTGACAAAGTCTCCTTTTTTATAAGTGATGTAAGTGTGTAATCCATGCAACACTTTGGAAGGCCAATATTAGGAATATCTATCTGACATGGTTATTTTAATCTACCCTGAATATTAATTCAGTTCTCCCCTTTTTATTCAGTTAATTGATGTTTTACCATTGACCTAGTTTGTTTTCAAGCCCATGAACACATGATACTGTGCAAGGTTTTCCCCCAATTTATCCAGGGACTACCACTAAGGTTTTCACTGATACTATAATTGGATTGTGGGATTTTTTTTTTTTAATTTGGATATGAAAATCTATTAGTATTGCCTAGAAGCATATTTCCTTTGAGAAGTACAAACAGATTTGCCTCCAACACTGATTAACCAGTTTAAGGAAGTGCAGATAGTTTGTGTCCACTCCATTTTAGTTTTGTGTCTGTTGTAATAGGATTCTGCGTTGTTTTACATATTTCAGTTTTAAAAATGTAAATTCTTCCATGCAAATTTTTATAACATATAAATATAACTTTTGTATGTATCTTTGTTTTATATTTTATGCAATTTTGCATTACATATGCATCCCTGTATTTCTTCCTCATAAATGCATGTTTGTAAGAAAGTTTCCATAAATATTAACGTTTTTGAATGCTAGTTTCTGAGCAGAGAATTACATCACAAATTCCATATGTGTAGAAGCTGAAGAGTACCTGTGATCCAATTT